GCTGGGCCGTGGCGGGGTCGCGGGCGCCGGTCGTTGCCTGAACGGAGGCCGGGGGAGTGAAGTCTTGCGGCGGGACGCGGTGTGGCGGGGGTCTACCCTGGCTCAGGTGGGCCGCGACTCTCCCTTGGGGCCGCGATCGAATGGGGGTTTGCTCTGGCTCTCGAGGGACAGGGCCTTGATTCCCTCCGCTCCCCGTGCTGTGGGGGTGGTCAGCGAGCCGCCCTCCCGGTCTGAGTCCCTTCTCCCGCCTCCCCGGCGGAGTCCCTGTCTGTGTGGGTGATTGTCCCGGTGGCGCTCGGGCCTCGCTGGGTCCCCGCACGCCCGCGGGAGCCCCGTCTTTCCTTCCCCGTCGCTTCCTCGGCGCAATGAAAATGCAGAGGGGGCTTCCCTCTTCATTCAGGGATCACTCATGGTTTACTGGGACAGCGAAATGCCTTCCTTGTGTTGGAAGGCTTGAGGTGTTTTTCCACCTATTACAGGTTTTCAGATCTCACAGTCTTTGAAGGTCCCACCTGACCTGTTGGAGAAGCCGGTTGACTAACTTCCTAGTCATTAAATTGGATTCATAGTTGCCGGAGGTTCATATAGGAAACTTGCTAAGAAGTGAACTTCACTGAGTTCGGAGCTGGCATATTAGTTAAAAGTATCAGAGATTCATTATTTGGAAATAGCACAGCAGTGTAGTAATGAGCCGTTCCCTGGGCTCTCTTTAAGATTAAGGTGTTTGCTTAGTAGCAGTTGTACTGTAAGTACTGATTTGTGTCTGTTCAGTCAGCAGTTCGGTCTAATGGTTCCAGCAGTAAACTGGCTTACTTGGAAACTCACAGTTAGTATCTTCAGACTGATGCAAAATTAAATGCCCTGTTGATTTGTCTCATCATGGTACAGACACCTCAGTTCAACAGACTGCTGCTGGTCTACCTTGTATTATTTGGGTGATGTTGATTTATAGCTCTTTCTTTCATGTGTATTTGTTCGATGCACTGTTTTGGTGAGTTTACTACAAGAGCTGCATTTTTAAGAGTACTTTTAAATGAACTGTGAAAATTGTTTCTTAATATTTTGATGATTAACTTGTATCTCACTCTTTTGATGCAGCATTATGAACCAAGAAAAGCTGGCCAAGCTTCAAGCGCAGGTCCGAATAGGAGGAAAGGTAAGAAAACTATTGGAGATGTACTGTTTTCAGTAATTTACAGGTTGAAGGAGAAACATCTCTGAAATTTGTTTTTCAAAACATAGGCTTTGGCTCAAAGGAAGAGGGGGGAGTAAAGATACACTTCTGAGACTTCAAAAATACAGGTTTTGTGTGGTCTGGATGATAGTAATGCAATTTTCTTCCAGTCCGGGACTGCTAGATGAGTAGTTTCCAGTGTGTAAGCTTTCTTTTTAATTCAGTGACTTGTTGTGACCTGTGCAAGCTCAAGTTAAGCTGAGCTGTCGGTTGTTCCAGTTCTTCCTTTCTGTTCTACCTGTTGGAGAGTTCCTTCTCTTGTGCCAGCTCCAGGGTTTATCTGACTCTGCACTGAGCTGTTTCTTTCCTCTGAGCTAATATGAGGAAAAAGCGTATCGTTTGTTCAGTGTGGGTGTTCATCTCCTAACTATAGGTGGGATTGTACAAAAGTTTGGGGGAATTCCAAAATTGCTGTCTGTAGAACAGTTTTTAAAGGTGTTAATTACTTACCGAAGTGGGACCTTTTTAAATGACTATGTTTGTGCTTCATCTTGGAAAAAATAAAGTTCTTAGGGAAAATTTCTTAATAGAAAATATTATTTTTATAATCTACCTTGTAGAAAAGGAAAGTGTTACTGCTGTTTGGTGGGTTTTTTTGGTCTTTTACACTTCAGAAAAAGCTTACCATTGAGACAGCTAAAGCTGTAGGTGAAGGGAAATAAGTTGAGAAGCATTTTTGATTGCAGAGCTTACTCATATCTTAAAAGATACATTGCTTAGAGTGTGATATGGCTTTTAAAATTAAAGTGTTTTGAGCATAGCTGACTGTCTCTTGATTCTTGTCCAGGGAACAGCTCGCAGAAAGAAGAAGGTGGTGCACAGAACAGCTACAGCTGATGACAAAAAACTTCAGAGTTCCCTCAAAAAACTGGCAGTAAATAACATTGCTGGCATTGAGGAGGTATAGTGATGAGTGTTTGCTGTTTGAAATTAAATTCACTGTATTGTTTTGGTGGTGATATGTTGTTTGGGGTTTTTTAACAATAGTTTTCCCCCCAATAGTTTTTCCCACCAAAACTTAGAGATCTGCTTACTGATAGGTACAGTTATATGATTGTATGCATTAATGTGAATGAGACAATATACCTAGAGAAAGAAGGGAGGAGGTTCTGCTGGCCAGATAGTGATTATAGAAGCTGGTAAGCGGTTTTGTCATGTATGTGTCTTGCATTCATTGCAAAACAAAACTTCCCTTGATTGTCTTTATGAACTTGATTACCTACTCTAAAGAGAAGAGCAATAAACATATGTACCGAGTTCCTGAGTGCAGGTACATCTAAAGCAAGAGTTGTGTTGTGCAGTATATAAAGAAAAACTTTAAAATACCTGGAGTAAGAACTTGTGAAGAATTATTAATTTCTTCTACTGTGTGAAAATTGCAAGAATTGTTTGTGGTAGACAAAGGAAATTATATTTCTTGCAACACAACAAAGACTCTACAGAACCAGCTTCTCTGTTAATGTAAGTAGGAATAAAAAGGTTTGGATGTTCCTTAAATACCTCTATTTTGCATGTATAAAATATGAACTGAAACACATTTTCTAGAACACCGTAGAGAGTGACGCTCATTTGTGGGTGGAGGAGGTGTTCCTTCATCATGAACTCAGTATTACTGTAGTACTTGGTTAAAGAAGCATAATATTTAATCTGTGATTAATTAATTTTAAGCAGGACTGCAAGGTGCCTCCAGAGGTCACTTAGTGCATACCTCTCTTCCAAAGGCAATACAGGTTCAGAGTTGAAACCTGGTTTGCCTGTAAATTTTCATTTCCTCTGCTACTGAAATGCTTCTGTTCGTCTGTTTTCTTAAGCTTGATATATATATCTATATATATATGCTGAGCTACATGAACTCAAAGAAAGACACAGTCCTGAGTTTGGTGTTTTTTTGCACAGAGCAGAAGATCTTTATTCAGATACAGTTATTAAGGATTTGAAATGTCTCCATATGGAGGCAGATAATGCAACATGCTTCTTCCTTGTAGCTAGGTACATAATTGCAGATTGTATTCAGGTTGACCTTGGTAAACTATGTAGATAGAGAGAATTCCCGGCTAACAGCTTCTCTCTGGCGGGGAAGTGCAAACGTGCACGTTTTCGGCCGAAAACGCGTTTTCGGCCGAAAACGCTCACCAAGCCCTTGAAGTTGCTACTATTTTCCCATGTGCAAAGGACAGGATGTCCTTTAGTTTTGCAGGAGAGCAACACACCTGGCTTTCATCTTAAAAACAGATTTTGAATTCTACAGCTGTATAAAGATTGATAACTTAAATGTTTCTATATTTCTATATTTTAGATTTCTTCTTCAGTTCCCAAATTTCATTTTTCTTCCTGTAACTCGTAAAAACAGTTTTCACGAGTTCTGTCACATAAGTTTATTAGTACTGTTTGGTTGAATGGGTAGAATGCTCTTCTCTTTTTCAGACAAAATTATTTTCCACATAATCACAGTTTAGCCATGCCCAGAAGAAAAATGTTTTAAACTTTTCATTCCGTTTCCTTTAAACATTACATAAACCCATACAAATATGCCACTATAAATTTTGACAGCAGGAGCAAAGCAAGCAGGCTGCCGTACTAGTTGTAATTCGTGGGCATACAGAAGACCAGGGAAGAGGAGAAGAGTAGGATCACTGCATGATGCCATTAGTCTTAAAAGCGTCACAGAGTTCTTGAAGTTATAGAAGCCTGTTCTGATGCACTTAGTACGTAAGCCTCCAGTTCTCTGTGTATGTGTGCAGGAAGCACCCTTGCCTTGGGCAGCTGCAGCAAGTAGGCCAGATTGTGAATCTTGTACCTTTGCCAATTCTGCAGAAACAGTGTTTTCCTGATAGGTGACAGAGATATCTGTGAATGGCTGTGTCTTAAACTGATGTGGCAAGACTTTTCTGTTAGAGCTTTTAGTTTGTAAAGAGTTACCACAGAGCTGAAGGTTTTGAGTCACTTTTCCCTAGACATTCCTGATATGAACTTGTTTATACCTTACAGTCTAATAGCCTGCATATGTTTTTGCCTTTGTTAAAAATACACATGAACTGCATGATAATGTATCGTTATATATTTATTACTTGGTGTTTAGGTAAGTGTATCTTATGAAGGAAATATCTCAAATTCTACTCTTTCATATTTAAACAGGTGAACATGATAAAAGATGACGGAACAGTTATTCACTTCAACAACCCCAAGGTTCAAGCTTCCCTCTCTGCTAACACATTTGCAATTACTGGTCATGCAGAGGCTAAACCGATCACAGAAATGCTTCCAGGCATTTTAAGCCAGCTTGGTGCTGACAGCTTAACAAGTCTCAGAAAGTTAGCTGAACAATTCCCAAGACAAGGTAGGTCTCTTTAGAATCTTTCACTTGAGATTTAAAAGAACATAGGAAGTATTAAAAGTTTTAACCCAAATTTAACAACAGTGTGTGTGACTAAAGACATGGTCAAAAGCAGATGTGCTTTATTTATTTGCCACTGTTGTTGAAATATAATGGGGGGGAAGGAAAAACATTTTGTTCTTGTGGATTCAGGTTTCTATATAGGCAGGCCCTGATTAAAAAAAAAAAAATTAAATTTGGTGTCACGCATGCTGTGATTTCAGGCATACAGCTGTATATGACAGAATACTTAGGAAAGGAAGTTCACATTTTTACTTGGAAAAACTCAACAGGTTCTTTTTGTCAGGAGATCAATTCTGTTTTCTTTGTTCATACAGAACATATTTCTATTGTGGATATAGAGGAAGAAACGTTCTTTATCTTCTACTCTGTAATTCCCTTTGGAATTACACCAAGACTTAAATTAATTCAAAATCAAAGATTTAATTCAGAATTTTAAAAAGTTAGTTTTATGTGATTCTTTATTTTCTACTCATTTTAAAACCATGGGAGCATGGGTTGTGTGTATATATGTATGTGTCATAACTTGCAGTTTTACAGTTAAGAAATTAAGTCTGGGGACAGTTCCAGTTTTGACTGTTAAGGCCATTAAAAAAGACTGTAATTGGACATGTTGCAATTTGGAACTGGAAAATCCATTACCTGTTTTAATGTTTTCAACAAACGGTTTTTCCTTCTGAATAATTTCAACTTCTATATTTCATGTTCAGAGTTTAATTGAAAGGGTTTATTTTTCACTCTTCTTTACTAATATGTAAGATACCTTCTAAAATTTAGAAAGATGGATAGTCATAAGCATATTTCTTTGATGAAACCTCAGTACCAATAGCTGCTTACTATGCTTTCTTTAGATAGCACAAGCAGTCAGACCAGTGAGAAGAGGTACTTTAAGTTCTTGTGTTTTTCCAGATTACTTGTAGCATGTTTCATGACTTACAGAAAACTAGGTTTGATGCAGGACCCTTGATACAGAAATACTCTTTCCTACAGTTGTGGCCCCTTAGCAATTATGTTGTATGATATGTTTGTCCCCAACTGGTACCACATTATGGTTGCACCAAAACACATGACTTCAGTTAGAAGATGTAGTCTGTATTATTGGATCTTTTGCTAGCTCTGCATTAATACTCTGTAGCATTTGAAATTGGCTGTGCTAATCCTTTGGTATAAGAATGTTCACAAGTAGACCTTTTGGTCATGCTGGTTACTGTTGATACCCAGTCACCTGTGTGTTTGTTACTTTTGGGGGTTGGGGAAATGCTTTCTTTTTTCACCTGTATGTGTTTTGTTTTGTAATTGTCCATAATTCTGTATGATGACAACTTAGCACCAAATTTCTTTTTATAGTGTTGGATAGTAAAGCACCAAAATCTGAAGACATTGATGAAGAAGATGATGATGTCCCAGGTAGGCACATGCAGACTTTTATTTCATGTTCATTTAATGTATAAATATTTTAATTCATGCCTCTCAGTATTTAGCTCTTGATGTGATTGTACATCTCACTTGTTGAGGGAGGCCTCATATACCAGACAGCATTGAAACATGTCTTCAGATTCCAGCTTTTGAATGAAGGTTTGCCTTGTGCGAGTTGCTTAATTTTTAAGTGAGGATAGGTTTAAAATACTTTCAGGGAGGTTGAACAGGTGATCTAAATATCTAAACAGGCTTTTAGGGCTGCAGAATGATGTGATTGGAATAGGCATGAGGTTGTCTTAACATCAGTCTGGAGTGGGTATTCTAATTTCTGTAGTAGAAGAAACAGTTTATCAGACACAGTCAGAGGGTTTATCAATAAGTAAATATTCTAAGTTCTTAATTTGTCAATGAATAACTGTCTTAGTCACCACATTATGCTGTATCCATTGGTATGGTGTATTAGCTAAAACAAACTGGTGGACCTAGAGGTTCAATTCCTCATGCTTTGGCACTAGTTTATTTCTTTGTGACTTTGCATAAACATTCAGTTTGCTAAAAATTCTGTTTTCTGGAGTACAACAGTGAATGGGTGCCAAACTTCAGGTAGTCTTTAAAGAATGCTGATGGCTCAACTGCAGCTAGATTTGAAAATCAGATCTTAAGTCATTTCATGTTAGAACTTCCACTATTCTGAGTGTTCTTGTATTTCTAGTTCTCTGTGTATGTTCAAACAGACATATTTTCTAAAGCCCATGAAATCTGCCCATAAAAATGGTGTACATAAGTGTAGTTAAGAACTATTTAACCTCTCCTATAATATATGCATGTTCATTAAACTTATGAAGCTGTTAACTGGGCATTACTGTATTAAATATCTTCATCTCTTGCAGATCTCGTAGAAAACTTTGATGAAGCATCAAAGAATGAAGCTAACTAAAACATTAATAGTTCTGGAAGCTGGCATGGACTAGATTTAAGAAATCAGCTATGTGGTTCTGAAGTTTTAAAGAAACAGAGAACATCATCTGTTAATAGTTCAGTAATATAAATATTTTGTATTTTTATGATGCTGTTTGTTCAGCATTTTCTGTCAGTTGATTTTGCATTTTGCACTTACTCCCAGGATCTACTCTTCTGGTCAAAAAGAAATGTCAGTGCAGTTTGAGGGGTGTGTGCATGTGCGTGTGTGTATGTGTGTGGGTGTACATATAGTGGAGAACAAATTGGAGAACACTTATTTAACCTTTTTCCCTTTTCCTTTGGAAGTAGAAATAAAACGAATCTTCATCCTTGTTACTTCTGATGATAACAGAATAGTGCACAGAAGGTAGTTAAGATTAAAATTTTGTCCACATTTTGTGACCTGAAGGCATCACATCTTTAAAACTTGGGTTTAATTTGCTGTTAACTATTGTACTTGCGGATGTGTTTCTCATCCCTGTTGAAGTGTACACATGATAATTCTTATCAGCCTTATGTTGATCCCAGATGACACTGAAGACGAGCTGTTTCACTGGCTGGTTTGGTACAGGAACTTGTTTAAAAAGTAACTTGGTCTCAGAAAAGTGTGCTTTTTTTTTTTTTAACATTTTTTGACTTTTTTTTCCCCTTGTGTCTCTGCCCTTTTGAGACAAACTGATGTTTGACTTCTTCCATGTAGGCTTAGCAGTATGTTCTCCTGTTGATTATGTAGAATATTTTCCATGTCAAAAGGAAAACACCTTGGTTCTCTACCATCAGGTCACTTCCTAAACTTGGAGATCTAGTTGGTAACAGTCTAGTGCACCAGTTTTGCACAGTAACAGATTTTTGCTTGAATAACTTCAAGCTGTTCTCTTGGCATGACTGCATTTACTAGCAGCTGATGATCCACTGTCACTCTTAAGGCACTAGGAATTAAATGCACCGTTGGAGCTATGTTTAAGGTGGGAGGAAAGAGTTGTTGACACTTTGCCTTGCCTCCTGCTGGGCAGTTTGTGCAATGACTAGCTCTTAAGGGGTATATTTTTTTTTTTGCCTGTAACTTACCTTTGCCTATAACCTACCTCTAGGTTTGATGTCATCTATGTAGTAGCTTCTTAAAAAAACCACAAATGCTCCTCAGGCATAAGGAGGACATTGGGAGGTACTGTTGGTACAGTGCAGTATTTATGACCTTTCTTTAAAATGCTTAATGTGAACCTATTTTCTCAGAGGCTCTATCAAGGTTCTTGATGTAATGTGCGTTATGGTATAGTTAGACATCATTGTAACCTGTGTCAAGGGCAGCTGTGGCTTAAGAAAGCCATTTTTTCCTCTACATCTGTCATTTAACTATGGCTTAATTGGAACATATCGGCTTTTCATGTAGGTTCATACGCTAGAGAACTGTAAAAGTACAAGGTAAACAGTACATGAGTTCTGGTGACGACATAAAACCATGAAAGCAGAGCTGTAGTGGTTTGTCATCCGAACTCCTCCATTTATTTTATAGGCTTTGTTCAGTTTTTTTTCTGTTATATTTTATATACTACATGGATCTTACTACAAAATAAAGTAACAGTACAAAAGAGGAAATGCTCCCTCTTGTGTGTTGTGTCCTCCCAGCAGCAGTAGCTGTGGAACAAGAGCTGGATGCAGCAGCTGTTTCGGACAGCACTACATCCCTGCTGACAGTGACTGAGGAAGATAATGCAGGACTAGGGAGGATCCTGGTAGAGCTTTAGGATTTCACACTCCCATATACCAACTCTCCTATTTTCCCTGCAGTGTCAAATTAAACTGATTTGTTGTATGGCTAATCTTAAATCAGCTGCAGATGCATTTGTTAAGTTTATAAGGAAGAGATGTTTTCATTAATGTGCACACAGGCACACTGAGTTGCCTTTTGCTGCCTCTGCGAGCTCAAAGAGCAAATGAAGGCTACTAGGAAACAGGTATTTGCAGTGTTCTTCCATTTGCTGAAGGGGCATGAGTGAAGAACGTTTCAAAGTAGCAACTGCACTGAGTTTGTCTATGGGACATCCCCTTTACCAAAATACTAACCAGATAATGAAAATTCATGCTTTGTGGTTTCTGATGTAGGAATTATGTCAAATTAATGTTGTGGGAAATTAAGCATTGGAACCGATTCTGTAAGTTTATATAGTTGAACTTTGATTCCTACAAAATACTCTTGACAATTCAGTGTTAAACCCTCACTTTTTTCCGATGTTTGAAGACCAGTAAACTAACTAAATATGCTAGCTTATGTAGATATATCATCTTCAGTTTTTTCACTGTATTTGGAAACAGTCAACCTTATGATTTGCTGCTGGAAATACTAGAGCTTATCAATCATTAAACTGATTTTAATTAAAAGCAACCCATCAAGGCTGTTGTGGGAAAAGCTCTTTTTCTTCGTATTTATTCATGGTATAATTCAAACAGTGTTTGTACATGCTGATGGAAGTGCAAAGTTACTAAAAGGAGTTTGGAGGAGTGTTGGTACAATAAAAACTCCCCACATGAAGGTGAACATTATAATGTTCTTTGCTTGGCTTGAAGCATGGTAACCACTGAAGAGCTTACTTGCTCACTATTTAAACACTGATGTATTGAAGATACTGGTAAAGATACGGATATGTTAAAGAACTTGGCAGTGATTTGAAAATAGGAAGATAGAATAGAAAGTAAATTGAAACATCTCTTGGATCATATGTGAGAGAATCAAAGCTGAATCGGTGAAGACCAGAGAACTTGGCAAATGTGTTAGATGGCAACACCAGTCTTCCTTCCCTGACTGCTAGTAGATGTGTGTAGGTCCCTCATTTATGGATGGGAAACCTGGGACTGGCTGACTTCTCTTGGGCAGGAGAGAAAGTCTGTAAAAACATGCAGTCATGGTGCATTTGCTCTATGGAAAAGAAAAAAGCTCTTGTATGATGGGTGGCAGAGATTAGTCAGTGATGATGGAGACTTGGTATCGAGTGCTGCTAAGGGATTTCTCATGCAGTGCTTGGTAACTAAGTTTGCAGCTAAAAGTGTTGTTAGGGTAGAAGGAGTTGATATAAAAAGAATGTTTATCATACGATACAGACCTTGAAAAAATTAGGGTTCAGGTGAATTTTTTCTTTTTAACTTCAGTTACATTTGAGGAGCGCACAAGAACTATAAGGATGAATTTAGAACTGTTACGGAAGTTTTACTGAAATATGTTGATAATTCACTAGTGTTTGTCAACTTTCCATGGCAACTAGGAGTTGCTATGAGCTCCTTTCTGCCAGGATCTTCACAAATAATGTTTTGGAGTTTATGTGTACAAGATGAGCACTGGAGGGTCTTACAGATTATTTAATTACTGAGCAGTGTATTAATTGACCAGTGTATTGCTGTTACAGGAAGGAACTGAGGAAGTTGTAACACCACAGTAAATCTGCTGTATGCAAGAGATGAATTCCTGCCTCTACTGAGGAATGTCCCAGGAAGGATCCTCATAATTTTCCCTGGAGTGAGACTGCTGCTCCAGGCAGTAGGGATGTGCAGAGGGGCTGAGCGAACTGCCCCGTAGCTGAAGGTGAGTGAGTGAATTCTTCCACTGGCCCTTGTTATGTTCATTTTATTAGTTTAAGATGGTACTGGTTTGTTCACCAGTGTGAACAGACAGATTGTTCTGGAGATCAAGATTACACTAATTAAATTATACATGTTTTGTACTTGAGCAAATGAAGTGATGCAGAACAGAAGCACATCACAACACTAGCCATAGCAACTTTACAGAAGTGACAGCAGAAGTACAGGGAATGGTTATTCAGATTCAACTGTGTGCTTTCCCATCAAGTACTTTCTCATTTTTAATCCCACACACCCCCCCTTTCAAAGACCAGTTTGCAGACATTGAAGAACTTCATGGATTTATTCAGAAACATGGGGGCCACTGTCAATCAAGGATTGAAGTAGCCAAGCAGAGCAAGTGAAGAGACTGATTCTAAAATTGTTTTTCTTGGTATGTTTGGGTGGAAGCTTGAGTTGATACTTAGAGCAGGGTTATTGGGTCCTGGGCTTTCACTTCAGACTCTGGCACTGTGTATTTGACAAGAAGAAGCAAACTTGCATCTTCCCAGTACCTTGATTTGCCTTTACTGCTCTACCTCCTTATGGGTTATATATATATATATTAATGAACACAAAACCTGGATGCTGCTTGTGAGAAAAGAGCTACATCTGTGCAAATGGTATAAAAAGCTACTTTAACTTCCACATGATATACTATCTGGTGGGCTGTCAGTACTGTTAAACACCCTCTCACTAAACAAGACCCACAGCTTGTTCAGACAAGCTATTTTTACTTGGCAACCTGGTATCTGTCAGATTCTCTACTATTAGGTGGCGTTTCCTTGAACTTTACATTGCAGATGGATTTGTAACTAAACTAAATTAGTTGCCTCCTTGGAGTAAAAGGAGATTATCTGCTCATCTGAGTTCTTGAAGTTTTTGATAGCGTTGATACTTTATCAAAAATAAGGCAAACGTTGAAACAAAAAATTTTATTCCAAGGCCTCTTGAGCTTTTAGTGCACACATCTCAGCTGAATAAAAGGAGTTACGCAACCTCTTGCCCTTTTTTTGCAACATCCTTGCAGCAGCTATAGTAACTGCTTATGTCAAAAAGTAACATTAGAAAGTATTTAATGTATTTTTAGATTCTGTCTAATGCAACTTAGCTGACAAAGAGCCACTGCTGTCTGACCAGCTTTCTACAGACGCTGGGAAGTGTGGTGTAAACTACATTTTGAGACCATAACATCTGATTTTGAGGCCATGTGTAAAGCTAGAAATTTCCAAGCAATGTGAGTTAGCCACACGTAGGTAAGTGAAGACTTAAAATCTCAACGGTCAGTGAGGTACCAGACCTTTGCACACCAAGGGTGAAGTTCCCTGAAAGACCTTCACCAGTCTTGGGCTTCCCTGCCACCAAGGGAGAAAGTCCTTCCCTTCCTTTGCTTTTTCAGGTGCCAGCAGTAGTAGTGGATGTCTGAGATCGACTGGATCAGCTTGCTCATCTGGTTGTAAATCACTTTTTGTAAAGTTAGTTTTCAGATGGTTTTTAGCTCTGGCTGACCATGCAGTTGTGCCCGTGCTTGACTGTTCCTCCTGGCAGCTTGCTTTGGTTGTCTTAGCCAGCTTGTGAAACTGCATCCTGAGCCATGGTGGCAGCACTGGAACCTGCAGATCCCACAGTTTATCCTGTGTGAGTGACAGCCTGCAGAGGAAGCTGTAATTCTGGGGCCCCTCTCAGTTGCCTTTGCATTACCACCTGCTGCCTAGTTTTAAATTTCTATGAAATAAATGGTAACCTCCCTTTAAAAGGCAACTGTTTGCATGCAGTCCTTTTGGGCAGCCTTGGTTGAGATGGCTGTCCTGCAAACCAGCCCTGCAGATGGAACTAGCCTTTGAACCCTGCTGCTGCCTGCTCTGCTTTAAGGCTTGGCTTGGCAAGGCAGTGTGAGGAAACTTGCAGTGCTGCTGCCAGGGTCATGCTGAGTAAAGGGAAGAAAGGAAGTACTTGCCATATTGATGCCTTGGGTGACCGATCTGGTCTGATACTGGTACTTGCAGTTTGGTTTTAAACTTTTAATTATGAAATAGGGGTTCATTACAGTTTGCTATTGCACAGGCATTGCCTGCACTGTGGACTGATAAGCTGTGGCCTGTGACCCAGCGTGCTGTTACTGCAGCTGTCCTCTGACCCTGCCATCCCACTGCTCTGCAGCTGCACAGCACCCAAACACAGCCTTCCCCATGAGCCCATTTTGTGCGTGTCTCTTCAGATTAATTTTTAGTGATTGGGGGGG